TTTTAACACAAATGCGTTTTAATATACAAACAACAATACAATTTACAATAAGTTATTACAAATAGTTATTACAAACAATTATATATATACAAAAGTTTTACAAACTTACAAGCAATATAAAGTCTTCTTTATATTGTCTATAACTTCCTTGATGTCTTATCGAGGGTTCACGATTAGCGAGTTAATTTCGAGTTGACATAGGTACAATTCACTTAATAGGAAGCTAGCTCTTCAGGTCTCGCTGATCACGCGCCAAAATTTTTCCTACCTGTGACGTTAGGTGATGTTTTCGTAAAAGTACTAATGTCCGATGTGAATCCACTGAAGTTAAATGGTGTGTAACGTTCGAAATCTATAAATGTTCCTGGTCAAATATCTTAAGTTTTCCGATTAATAATCATTATAACAATCACAGTTATAGCTTCCAAATTATATAGCATACCAACTATAGCAAACCAATAATAGATACTACTTTTTTGGCGCGTCGCGTTGATTATATTTATAGGCGTGTGGAGACTTTCTAGAAAATATAGATTACATAACAATACAAAGCTACATTAAGCATTTACGTACATACATATATTGTTGATTCTTACACTCGAGAATCTTCTACAACTTTAGAGAATAGGCGGGAGATTCGCAATACATATTTAACAGTATAAGTTATGCATGTTTATAAATATAAATTTAATCTAAACAAACGTCGATATTAAAATAAGTATATAATAATAATCCGTCACAAATGTATCATTGTCATCTGTGCAATTTCTGCTTCACCTTTTGGAGTTGGATTTTGATTTATAATATATTCCCATCACTGTGTGATTTTACTTTACCTTTTGTATTTGGTTTCTATTTACATTGTATTACCTTCGGTGTTACTTGTAATTCACCTTTTTGGAATTTTTTGTAGTTGGCTTCTGATGTACAATGTATTGTTGCCATCTATGTAATTTCTATTTCGTTTTTGATAGTTGATTATCTTCACAGTTTACTTGATGTTGTAACTTCTGTGTTTAGTAGAACAATTATTTCAACGTTGACTTGGTGGTGGTGGAAATTCCCCAACTAGTTGGTTCAGTGAAATTATCACTAGAATCAGTATTCTTAGTTTTTGGCTTCGAAACCAGCTCCACCTAAATGTATTTGTACTAATACAACTGTTTGTATGTATTGCACATCTTGTTTCATTACAAGGATAGTTTTCAACCTAACTGGTGTACGTGGGCTTATTGTCACGGTGAGCATAGTTCGAGCTCCTGTTGTGAAAGAAGCAAGATAACAAAGAAGTTCAAATCTTGTAGTACAACTTTATATTGTGATTAAATTGTGATAGTAAAGACTTCAGCAGTCTCTGACGTCATCGGTATTAATAAAGAATAGTTTTAATTATGCACAGGTGTGAAATTCTTTGTTTCTACCGAATCTCGGTACTGACATTTATTGGAATTCTAAGTGGAGTATCTCTTCTTCTTTTGTACTGCATTTCTGAGTGTCGTTACTTTTTTGGGAATAGGTACCGTTAATTAGCAGAAAATGTGGTTTTCTATACACCGTGAGGCCAAGTCCTGTAATGGGTCAGTAGTAACCATAAAGACTTACAACGCTAACATTTGGACTTTGGTTCCTCGCAGTGGAGAATGCGCAGATAGCCGCTATGTAACTTTGCGAAAAAAACCAAACAGCAACACTGAGGTACTAAGAAAAATGAGTATACCTTTAATTCTTTAAGGAGAAATTCACTGCTGCTTAAATGTAAGGACTTAAGAAAGTCTTCAGCCAATAACCGAACTAATACATCAGAATATGATTCACTATTGCCTTTTATTTCACAATAAATAGCATGTCAAAATGTTCGAAAACTATTCTGTGTCCAGGGCCTTTTGTAAAATTTTTTGTATTTTTTTTCTTCCAGAAACCATGCTGCTGGCTGGAGTTTTTATTGTCCTAACACTTATCTATGCTACAAATCTCCAGGAAGATCAGCAGTCTCCAGAATTTAAAAACAGACTGAAAATTTTTAGAAGTCACGCTAACGTTACTGCAATCCCGACTTGCACTCTGTCCACTTACACGGGGCACCTTCGAGTGTACTGTCGTGGGGCGAACATCGAGGTGGTGGCCTATCGTGTCCCCCAGCAAACGTACGAGCTTAGTCTCGGTAAAGGAAACTACACTATACTGGATCGTTCCTTATTTTCTCATTTAAAGCAAATGCGAAGATTTGAACTGTACAACAGCAGAATTTTTAAGATTATGCCACAGTTTCTCAAGGGACTTTCTCGTTTGGAATTTTTAGGTTTAAGCAATAACTTCCTTAAAAGATTACACCCGAAACTTTTCCTTGAAACTCCAAATATAACGACCTTAGATCTTTCTGGTAATTTAATTCTTTCATTTGGGGTCATATCTTTGGCCCTTGCAACGTTAAAACACCTAGAGAAGGTAGATCTTTCTGATAACAAATTAATTCGCTATATACGCTTCGATGACGTAGAAGACCTGCGCAATAGTTCTCTACGGGACTTGAATATTAATAATTGTTTTCTGGAAACAGTTGAGAATGGTTCTTTAGGGGTGTTATCGAATCTGAAGACTTTAGATTTGGGATCGAATATTTTATCAGCAAAGGCTTTGAAAAACGTTACTTTAGGTCTACAGTACACACAAATAAAAGTGTTTAAACTAGCGTATCTCACACAATTGGCAATTTTTCCATCAGATAGTCTCTCACCTCTTTCTAATACCTTTGTCGAATCTTTGTATCTCGATGATAATCACTTTTTGAATATCGCACTATTTCCAAACATTCCATCTTTACGGACATTATCCTTGACCTCATGTTCTGTTGAAGACTTGGGGAAATCTTTGTACACGGTACCCGGTGTGGAAGTGTTATTTCTTAAACGTCATAGACTCGTCTCCATAGGGCAAAACCAGTTACGCCCTCTTACCAAGTTACGGAAACTTGTTGTTAGCGATTACGTTGGTGATTGGCACTCGGACAGATTCTTTTTGGAAATTAACGGCTTTTCAACTTTAAAGAATTTAGAATACCTTAATCTTGCGTCAAATCCAATAAAATCTTCAGTCAACAGACTTCATTTTAATGGTCTTGAAAACTTAAAGGAATTGGATTTATCCGCAACTTTAATAACTAAAATAGAAGATTTCGCATTTGAACCTTTGAAATCCCTTGAGCGTCTGAACTTAAATTACAACAATTTCAGAGATTTGAGTAATAATACATTTCACGGCCTCACAAATCTCACATACTTATTTTTAAGGGAAAACGACTTGATTTTAAGAAGCTATTCGTACCCGTTTCATAAGATGCCATCTTTGGAAGTTTTGATTTTAAGTAATAATAATATAAGGCTTATGGACTCTCTAACATTTTCGAGATCCTCAAACTTGGAACTTCTTTTTCTTTCAAACAACGTCATTGCACCTTGGAATGAATCACTTTTTGAGAATAATCCAAAACTAAGAGTTTTACGGTTAGAAAAAAATGATATTAGATATGTGACCCAAGCAATGTTACAAGATTTCGTAAAAGTAACGGAAGAAATAGACGTGTCTGGTAATCCATATGATTGTCATGTTTGCGGGATGGAAAGTTTCCAGAGATGGATAAACAGCACTAATGTTACCATTAAAGACTTACATCGTTTTCCTGAAAAGTATTCGTGCAAGAACCCAAAAGATTTAGAAGGCAAGTTTCTTGTATTTGTGAAGATTCCAACAGAACATTGTATCACATACGTTGTCAATCTTAAGTTGGTTCTTACCTCTTCCATTGCAACATTAGTAGCTGTGGTGGTAACAGTTCTCTTCGTTGGATATTACTACCGTTGGTATATTAGATACTGGTGGTTTTTAATTCGCACAAAAGTAAAACACTTCCGAGAAACCAACGAAAGTGAAGAGTTCTTGTACGATGCCTTTATTTCCTATAGCGAAGATGACGTAGCTTGGGTATCTAAGAAGCTTCTTCCTGCGCTAGAAAACAAAGAAACGAAACTTCGTCTATGTATCCACGAAAGAGATTTCGATGTAGGAAGACCAATAACAGAAAATGTGCTCCAGGCGATCGTAAAGAGCAGAAAGACGATTCTCATTCTGTCAAAGTCCTTTGTGAACAGTAAGTGGTGTATGTTTGAACTGCACATGGCGCAACACAGGCTGTTTGAAGATGATCGTGATGCGTTGGTGTTGATTCGTTTTGATGACTTGAATGACAAGTTACTTACCAAGAACATAAAATACTTAATCAAGACAAGGACGTACATCCCATGGCCACAGACCCAGGATGAACAAAAGCTTTTCTGGTTAAGACTAATAAATGCCGTGTCTAAATGAAGCGATAATGGCCGATTTTGACCTTTAGTAACCCCTTTCAATACTTAAATGGTCAGGAAAAGTTTTTTAAGGAATTTGAAATGCTTAACTTTCTGTGGACATTTTCTTGGTTAGTCTTTTCACAAAAAGTACTCTTCAGAGGAATCTTCAATAAATGTTTAAAGTTGAGAGCATTTTGTGCACACAGTTTGATGCATAACATTTATTGGAAAAGAAAGAACAAAGAACAACACATATTTTCAAAGACATCGAGAATTGATATAGTTGCAATTGATTGAGAACGGTGATATTCAAGAAGATTGGAGATAATATGAATGGCACTTACTGATGAATAACCTGCTTAAAATTGTGGAGAACATTTAGTGATGACTTATTATTATTAATTTCTGATCAAAGCAAATTACATAAAGAGATAAAAACAAAATATTAAGCCAATATTTAATATGGTTAATTTAACATGTCTTTCTAATCAGGTGTAAGTGAAGTTATAAAGCAAAATCTTATAATGATTAAAATGCATTGGTATATATCAGTTGGATGCTCTAGATTTTAACGATATTTTCGGCAGTAATCCTAACAATATCTGCGAGATTTAATCACTTCAGGAGACTTAGCTTAGTCTTAAACTCAAATGCTAAGCTAAAATGTAGAATAATATTTTCTAATAAATCATATGTAATTCTGAAGATATAAATAAATACGGTTAAATATATATATTACGTATATATATGTTAAACACTTTAATCAATGTTTTCAATAAACTAATATCAAATAAAGTATAGAATATACCTTTACAACGACTACAAATATGTACATATTTTTGATAAGTAATGGAATGGTTTCTCTTATTTTTCGTAGAAAAAAAAAGGCTAAGATAATATATGTTGGCAAAAAGAGAGTATTAGTGATCTACACGTTTTCATTAATGTAACGTAGAAGCAAAATAACTACTTGATGAAGACGTTTGCTCGAAAATTTGTGATGGGTTTTGATTTCTTTAGTTGGTGTTTAAACTGAATATTTCGAATAATAGATATTTAGTTGCCATTGCCGACGAAACACTTCACTCCAGAGCTTAAGACTTCAATCTGTATCATTACTAGAGAAACTAAGCGTTCTACTAATTCGTCACCATTTCTATCAAGTATATTTTAACATGTTGTCGCCAAAGCAACTACCAATAATACTTGTCATTCTTCCCACCATGTCCTCGCCAAAGTTACCAGCTAGGCTTTTCATCATGTACTCACCATTGTTACTAGCTTGACTTTTCATCATGTACTCACCAATGCTACTAGCCACGCTTTCCATCATGTACTCTACGTAACGTATTTCCTCACTTTTAATTATTGTAAGACAATGGGTTTGGGATCTTTCCAAACTACAGGATTTACCAGTGAAAGTGAAGCTGTACCTTGCCATTCAGCATCTTTTCTAACGAAAATGAGGCTGATGATTTTTTCAGATTAAGTGTATCGTCCCTAACAATAACTCTGATACTAACCTCACTCCTTTCAGCCTACTCTCGATCCTCATTGTCAGATTTTAACATTATTTAATTTTTTTACTCCATTTGTCCAAATAAAAGGCTTTTACTTATATTTCTTCAGAGTATAGATATATACTATGTTGTTGTTAGGCTTAGGATTATTCTACAGTAGGTGTCTGTGACTTGTTAGCGATAAATTCAACGATAAATGAACAGCACGCACTTATTTTCAAAATAATATATATATTCGGAACAAGTTAAACGTATGTACAACAAATTCTTCATACTATAGAGATCATAGGCATATCATAAACACTATATGTATGCATATATAGTTATCTTCTTCTTGTCAAAAGTCCACTTAGGCTTATTCAATTACTTTAGAATTTCAGTTGACAAGACAAACTCTTTTCTCTATCACTAACGCACCTGTATTCTGTGTGTGATTCACTTACAATTGTGGTGCGAGTTACCGTAATCGTTTGATCTTCTTTCTTCTGAAGATTCTCTGTTCCTTTTGTCACTCAGGCTGATTCAAATACTTTAGAACCACATTTTGACCGAATAAATTAATTTTATTATTTCCTGTCCTACTGTTAGTTTACTCTGACATATTAAACGTTAAGCTTCTGTCAATCGTTAGGCTTATCACTTCTACGGTAGTTAACTTCACGCCGAACTTTTCCTTGGCCTGTAACTTTACTCTTGTATGCTATTATCTGTCTGCTGTTTCCACTCGTCTCACTCTAGTTATATGTCTATCATTTAATCGTTTGCCCGCCTTTTATACTCTCGACGACAATGTGTTGCACACGACTTTCGATAGTCTCAACATCAGTGAATTATTAACAAAACTAAACAATAATAAAATATTCACTCACAAACATTAATCAATCAATAATATCTAAACTAAACAGTATTTTATATCATGACACTCATCTTGTTTTTGTGGGATTACATCGGAAAATCAACGGCCACTCTGTATAAGCAGAGTGATATCCAAGTTTTATTTTCTAAGTGATTTTAATTATCGTCACCGTTTATCTCGTGCACTTTCTTTGGTAAAATAATTTCTGTTTTTAGGTTTGTTCACACAGAACTTGTTCTTATTACATGCTGTTGTCTTTGTCTGACCCCGCCTTATCAATACATCAGAGTTGTTTCTGGTATTTTATGCAATTGTTATAACTTTAACCCTTTCATAACTTTTCATTTTAATAAACTTTTATTCAGGTGTATTCAAGTAATGTTTTTAAATTTCCAGTACAGAGAGTTTTACTTACGGATTCTATGTGCCTCATCTTGGTCTAATCTCATTGTTAAACTTGTTGCACACAGCAAAATATCAATCCAGAAACATACTATATTTTTTTCGCGGCGTCTTCGTCAATCAAGTTATTAAGCTGGCATCACTATATTAATGAATGGTGACGTAGAAAGATAAGAACAGTGCAGAATTTTAGTCTCTCATTTTCTGCTAGTGTGATTGATCTAATGAAGTGTCTGTGATTTGGCATGCTGGGATTTTTTATGGAATTTGGGATTAAATATAATCCTAAGCAACGTTAGTTCTTAGAATTATCTTGGCGTTTCCTAAGTAACTAGTCAAAATTCACCTTGTGTTAAAAGTTATGTCTTGTTACTATTACAGAAAAGTCGGCCAATAGAAATATATGGCTTTTGTTATCATTTTTAGTGAAATAAATTGTCACTTTAGTTTCAAAGGAAAACAGCTGTGGCTATTCTTGTTTTATCATGATTGACTTATTCACGCTCTGCATACAAATGATTAGAATCTACTGTTATTTTCATCTTCATAACAGTCCGTTGGCGATAGTATGATATTACCATATTTTGTTAAAAACATAATTTGAAATAATATATATAAACATAATGGAACTAAGAGGTAATTTCTGAAAGAAATGCTAAAGTACATATTGTTGCGCCACCTAATAATTATAAGTTTTAATGAAATACTTTTATTCTTTCAAACCGAAGCTTATAGTTTGACATTTTAACACAGCTTTTGATCAAATCTATCGAATATTCGTGGGAAAACTATTCACACTTCTTTATCATCCGACAGATGACGATAAAATTACTTAACTAATTACATTTTTTATTGTATATTTCATAAATAATACGAAACTTTGAAAAACATTTATGCTTCTGAAATAATTAGACACTTATGCTTAAACTTACAAGAGAAAGGAAAACGTTACAATATTGTACTTTTTAAGTGATAAACGATATATAATTAAAGAATATGCACTTGAATTCTAGAAGCAACGTCTACCATGTTACTAGATTTTAAGGGTTTATCGAGTTATTTTAAGGTTTTACTCGCGTATAAAAAAATACACTTAGTTCTTTATAACAAAAATAAGCCACCCGAAAAAAATTACACCCACTTTTATGACATTAAAATGTAAAAAATTTGGTAACTTTTCATACGACATTCACTAAAACTAAAGTATTTTTAATAAATTAGTTGTTTAAACGTAAACATGTGGCTCTAATCCTATTTCGTATGGCAACCGCTATACTTGTTGATATTATTCGAAACACCAAACTCACATACTCAACGGCTTATAATCAAATACAATCTTTGAAAATTTCCATAGTTCTAAACGATTTCTTTGAAACAGACTACGTGAATTATGGACAAAATTTAATTTTTTTTTTGGGGGGGGGGGGATAACATTAGTATTTGCAAGTAATTTCTAATCGAAAAAATAAGTAAAATAAGTGTAAACAGTATTAAGACCACCGTTTTGGCAAAATATAAACAACATTAGAACGACTAAACTTTTATTACGAAGTTATTTAATAAAAAAGTATATCTTAAAATGAAGTGGCATCTTTTAATATTAAAAAATAGTTTACAAACTCGTACTTTGACTTGTCATTGTACAGTACTGTTCTGTCACTATTCTAATAAATACTTAATAACTACATAATTGAATGAGTAGAGTTGTTTAAACATTTGTTTAACAACAAGTTAAAGCTTAGAATGGTCTATTCTTTCATTGGGGTGTGTGTTAATTATGTACAAGCTGCCCAGTGTCAGATAACAATACGAAGAATTAAATTGTGGCGGATTACTACAAGTTTTCAAATACTTATAGAATGATAGGTTTCTTTTTGGTGAGTGTAAAACACGTAAATACACCAGTTTGATTTACTTAATAACTAGTTATATAAAGTTCACTTGGAGAATCGAAACAAATGCGACCCCAAAAAAGGGATAGATATCTTCTTAAAGTAACGTGTCAAAAACTGACCTCACAAAGCTTATCATAGGGTTTATATTCTCCCAGGCCTAAACCTGATACCTCTATAATATTACAGAAAGTAAGTGTTCTTGTTAGTCACAAATACACCTTTATACTCTTTCATTTCGGAAGGGGTTTGAGGCTGTTTTCGATCTTGCTAGACTGATGACAGCCGACACTTCTTGAAGCTGCAGTTATTAGCTGGTCACTACAGAAACTGAGTTAAAGTTCGAGAAGATTCTCATGAATATAGCTTCTCCGAAAACCGTTTTGGTAATTTGAATGCAAGTTTTATCCCGTATTTTTACACCGTACATCAGGATAAACACTAGATGGATTTTACTTTATATAATTGTCAAACAACTTCGTTATTTTTTCTTTGTTGTTAAATAGTAAGTAAT